CATTTCCTGTCTCCCCCTCCCCCAGTGATCAGTCTGCTGCAGGCACGAGGAAGCATTTCCTTAGTCTCCCCTCCCTATTGTATATCTGTAACATTGTAACTCACTCACGCTTTTTACAGCCTCTCAGGACCGGTGATCGATTACAGGTCTGTGAGAGATCACACACTTCGAACTCACAGAGGGGGGAAATCTTTTTTCAGTTTGTACTCTTGTATAAAAATACAAGTTTTACAAATTGTACATCTTAATCTTTAAGGCTAGGTTCACACCTAGGCCACACCTCACCGTGCGGCAATCGTGCACTATCGGCACCCCAGTCGCAGTGGGCGGATCGCGCGGTTTCCCGCTGTGCTTCAGAACACGAACGCGGCTAAAACAGCCGCATGTCGTGTATCACAAAAAGAAGGTACTTGTACCTTTTTTCTGTGATTGCCGCGCAGATGTCACCCTATTGAAATCAATGGGGCCACGCGCCAATCGCTGCCTGCATTGCGCAGGATCGCACGACACTCGGGACGCGCGTCCCAGGTGTCGCGCGGTGTAGTGCAGGTGTGAACCCAGCTTAAAGCTATCTGGATTCTGACTCACCTCGATGGCTATCCTCCATCACAGAATTAGGATCATCGATGAATTACTGGTGTTTTTTAAAGAAATATTATTTGTAACCTCAATGTTAATGAAGAGTATGATGAGGGGACTCTGGATTATGATGATGATGATGATGATAAGATACCATCAGAGGTATCAGAGACCTCACCTTGAGCTGTCGGCGGACTCTGTCGATGAAGAATTTCCAGCAGTTCTCTCTGGTGTCCATCATCCCTTGGCCCTTCACTTCATTCCTCACACTGCTGATAATGTTCTCCACCTCGTCATCGGGAAACAAGTCCGGGATTTCACCTGCACAACGTAGAGAGGTAAAAAAATCACAGAATTCACAGCAGCTAAAAATCATCAGGCATGTGCACTAAAGCCAAATGCGATAACCCATTGCCAGGAGAGTCCCAAAACTTTTTGCTGCCTGATTTGGGGGCTGGAGGTTTGGGGGGTTGGCAGTGCGTAATGTGCTAGGGGTGCATGGCAAAAAAGGGTCAGGGAGCAGTTTGGGCGGGGGGCGGTTCGGATCACGCTGAGCCACGCGGTCGCATTAACGGTCCCCATAGCGATGTATGAGTTTGTTCATGTCGGCTAATCCGCCGGCCGAACCGCCCCGGTGCGAACAGGGCCTTAATCTTCTCTTGGGTGAATTTCAAGATAATGAAAAATCTTAATTGCTCTTAGCAACCAGATCAGTGTGAAAATGGAACGTTTCATTGGCAGCAATGGACGACAAACACTTCGCCCCATTCTAGCTCATTGGGGCTGATTTAGGGTTGGAAGAAGGGAGGAGGATAGGAGGAGATGCTGAAGGGCTCACCTGAGGCCAGCAAATCATTGACCAGCACCAGGAACTTCTCATCCGCCACCTGAGCGTCTGTCAGGAGGAACACCGTGCCAATGTTCTTCACCCCAGCCTTGATGTACTGGTTTGCCAGATCGACCTGCAGAAAGGAAAAAAAAAAGGGGCATTGTGATAAGCCGAAGTAGAGGAGGAACGGACAGCAACTCATTGCCACCCATCAGGACCTCAATTCTGCTTCTTCCTCCTATTTCATACATTAAACATAAACACTAATTACTTGATATGACAATGTATTCCACTTCTCTTTGTCTCCATTTTTATGTCATTGTGTAGGAGGGATGGTGACACGGTTATGTCAGTGTGTCCGGTCGTTGACAAACTCCCAGGAAGAATCTTACAGCTGACATCTCCCATGAAAGGTCTGTGTGACAGTGGAGCAGTGCTGAGAAATCATCCCCTTAATTACTAGCATATCTAAGTTACACAGACGCCGAGGCTAATGTGACTCAGTCAGTCCCTTACCGGCATGTTGTAGAACTCAAGTCATTCAGAACTGCTTGGATTTAAATGGATACATTGGCTTCCCTGCAGGAAAGGTGGCCATTTTATGGTCATTCCATTCACAATGATCAGCAGTGGTCAGTCAATGCGAACAGTACACTATATGGCCAACATTTCATGGACATCTGACAATTACACTTGCTATACTGTATGTCTAAAGTACGTTAAGACCCCTCCAAATGAATGAGTTTAGGTGTTTCTGGTGAAAGGTTCTGCAGCAGACAATTGTCCACTTCCAACCTTGTGGAAGCCATTCAGTGAAGACCCTTTTCTGTGTACAAAGCCAGCTCCATGAAGACATGGTTTGACCAGCTTGGTGTGGAGGAACTTGAGTCACCTGGACACAGCCCTGACCTCAGCCCTTGCCGTTGGAATGAATTGGAATGCCGATTGGGAGAGCCAGGTCTTCTCATTAAACATAATCATGGCCATTGTTTTGAAATGTTTGGGATGATGACCAAGCTGCTCATCCAACATCAGTACCTGACTTCAGAAATGGGCACAAATTGCCACTGACACACTCCAAAATCTTGTGGAACGCCTTCCCAGAAGAGTGGAGGCTGACATAGCCACCAAAGTCAACTCCATATCAATGGCAAAGATTTAAGGGAGGAACGCCCAAGCTCATATAGGTGTGATGGTCAGGTGTCCAGAAACGTTAATAACGTATTGTATGGTCTAACATAAAGCCATTTTATAAGAAGGAATGATAGCACGCTCCGGTGCATGGTAGACATGTAACTGTGGAAAAATTTGGGTCAAATATTTCGGAATTTGGATGGGAAATTCAATTCGGTTCGGGTTTTGGATTGGTACAAAATCCGAATTTTTATTAGTTTCGGATGAGTTTACAAATATTCATTGCGAATACCACAGAAAACCATATTCCTGAATGTCATTCGGGTCTGGGAGCCACATACATATATTACTAAAGCTGAGGCTCGCAGACCCCAATGGCATTCGCGAGCTCCCCAATGCAATTTGGAAATTTGGATCCCGAATGCCATTTGGGTCTAGGAGCTTCAGCTTTAGTATTATATATACAAATGAAAACTGAATCGGACATTTGACTTTTCTGGCCTATCAGATGGTTTTTTTTTCGGTTTAATGCATCCGAATGGGTAACACAAATTTTCCTTACGGCAACATGGGAGCCCTAACGAAAATTTGTGTCACCTATTCGGATGCGAAAAACACATCTGATTGACCAGAAAAGTCGCATGTCCGAATCAGTTTAGTTTTTGAATGAAATGCGGACCGCATCCGAAATTCGGATGCATTGGGATTAGGAAATTCGGATGCATTGGGATTAGGAAATTCGGATGCATTGGGATTAGGAAATTCGGATGCATTGGGATTAGGAAAATTCGGATGCATTGGGATTAGGAAATTCGGATGTGTCCGAATTTTGATTCGGGACTAAACGAATCGCGCATGTCTAGTGCATGGCGGGTTTATGGTATCCCTGCAAAAGAGCATATTTCGTATGCAGAGCAGGACTATAGAATCCCCCACACAGCTATCAGCCATCCTAGTACAGATCACTGGCCCCCTTCCCACTCCAATCACGAGTCCTGGACATGCCGCCCAGTGAGGCTGAGTGGGGAGAGGAAGATGAGAATTGCACGGAGACGGACGTGTTTGAAGGTGGTGATAACCCCGTGCAGATGGGGCAGCCATGCAGAATTTTCTCTTCTATTCCAGGACTTGGCAGACTTTAATTATAGTGTTCAGAGAGGAGAGGATGAAGCAGCTCGTGTTATGGAATCAGTCATCAGATAGAGGAAAGGTTAAATGTGATGCTACAGAGGAAGATGTGAGTGATTATCTCCCCTCAGCCACGCACACAGTTTATTGTATTTGTTGTAGTGGAAGCAAATTCTGCTGCACTGCGCAAACACTGAACCAGAGACAACGGTCTCTGCACCAGAGGAGCTTACACTCTAATGTCCCCAGCACAGTCAGACACTAGTACCAATATTATACATTTATATAACTCTGACACCTGCTGAAGCACTTTATGAAGAACTAGGAACCCAATCCCTGCAAAGCACTCTCACCATTGTGGGAGGGGCAGAGACACAAACTACTTGGAGGAAATCTCACCATGGTGGGAGGGGCAGAGACACAAACTACTGGAGGGAAATCTCACCATTGTGGGAGGGGCAGAGACACAAAATACTGGAGAAAGGGTATCGCACCATTGTGGGAGGAGCAGAGATACAAACTACTGGGGGAAATCTCACCATTGAGGGAGGGGAAGAGACAAACTACTGGAGGAAATCTCCCTATTGTAGGAGGGGCAGAGACACAAACGACTGGGGGGAAATCTCACCATTGAGGGAGGGGAAGAGACAAACTACTGGAGGAAATCTCCCTATTGTAGGAGGGGCAGAGACACAAACTACTGGGGGGGGGGATCTCTCCATTGTGGTAGGTGCAGAGACATGAACGTCAGGGGGATTTCAAAAGTGAAATTTGCAAAGAGAATAAGGAAGCTTATTCAGCACAGAGAATTTCCTTTACTGAAATTTTAATTTGGCCAACCGATACAAATAAAGGCCAATTTAATTATTAGTTTTGATATTAGAAGGCTGATCCACTAGCTTCATAGTCAACCTCAAATACTATGTAACTATGAAGCTAGTGGATCAGCCTTCTAACATCAAAACTAATAATTAAATTGGCCTTTATTTGTATCAGTTGGCCTAATTAAAATTTCAGTAAAGGAAATTCTCTGTGCTGCACATAACAGCCAGTCAGAATCTAGTAATAGTTTTTCTAGCTGATGTAAGAAAATGAACATGTGATTGATTGCCATGAGATACAGCACCATTTTGACATTTTCCCCAGTTTTTGGCACTGGATGATGTGCGCTCCCTCACTTCCCTACCTTGAGATCCGGGATGCCGTAGCCCTTTCTCAGCGTGATCTGAAAGACTTCCAAGGAGCTAATGTACGCTGCCAGCCTCGTCAGACTCTGCTTGCCACTTCCGCCCACTCCGACCAGCAGCGCGTTCCCCCGGGGCGACTCCAAGATACGGTTGATTCGGCAGCTACATAGAAACAGAACAAAGATATTAATAAAACTCCTGGCTGAACACGAGGGAGGATGTTGTGCGGGGTCCCGAGCTGGCAGAGAGCACAAGGCATGTTTAACATGCAGACAGCGGAGTGACAGGCCACTGAAGCTTGCGCCTATTCGGGAAACCGACACTTGCCATCGCTGGCTAGCTCCCAAAGGCACTTCCCGTAAAACTCAAGAATGGCCAATACAAAGACTGCAGGTAGATTAAAGAACAAATTCCATTGATAATAATTTGCTACATTTGTAGAAGTGGAAATACAGGAGATTTAGTGCCAAGTAAGGAACAGAAATGATGGACTGCACCAACGGCGAAAAAATAATTACTAATAATCACAGCTATTAGCGGCTTCAGTGCTGTAAATCTGCTGACAGTTGATCTGCCAGGAAGTGCCGAGGATATTGGCATAGGACAGCTTTTCACACAGGTTATATAATGGTTGTTTCTTTAAAAAGGGTCAGTCCATCCAAGACTGCAATTTTAGCATTTGATGGAAAGTTAATGATCTCTCATTATCTATCAGGCTCCCAACATCCCTTCACTGAGTTCCCAGCTCTGCACACCTTCTGTGCCCATTATGAGGAGTTCCCACAATTCCTGCACACCTTCTGTGCCATTATGAGGGGTTCCCATCATCTTTGTGCTGAGTTCTGGAGTTCTGCACATCTGCTGTACCCATTATGAGGAGATCTCCGCATTCCTGCACTGGGTTCCGGGGTCTGCACATTTGCTGTGCCTATAATGAGGGGTTCCCATCATCCCTGGCTACGTTTCCACGTCTGTACACCTGCTGTGCTAATTATGAGGGGTTCCCACTATCCCTGCACTAAGTTCCCGGGTCTGTACATATGCTATGCCCATGGGGGGTTCCCATCATCCCTCCACTGAGTTCCGGGGTCTGCGCACCTGCTTCTGCTGTGCCCATTATGAGGGGTTCCCACCATCCTTGTGCTGAGTTCCCGGGTCTGTACACCTGCTGTGCCCATTATGAGGAGATCCCACCATTCCTGTGCCGGGTTTCTGGGTCTGCACACCTCATGTGCCCACTATGAGGGATTCCCACCATCCCTTCACAGAATTCCTGGGTCTGCACACCTGCTGTGGCCATTATGAGGGGTTCCCACCTGCTGGATTTTGGTATTTAATGCATGATTTCACTAGAAATGAGGAAAAGTGAGAGTTCCAGCAAAGTTTTGCCATTTTGGCAAAATGCATTCAAGTCTATGAGGAGGACAAAATTGTAAGGTGGTCCTTTGCGTGTTTTTAAGTATACCATGGGCTTTAAATTAGTTACTGAGGGTTAATGAAGTTAATTTCACCTATCCTAGACCTGTTCAAAAATTGCACACAGATAACAATCAAATTCACAAAAGCAAAAGACCACCAAACTATATAAACCAAACCACCCCAAATACCCTCTGAATTTGTCTGGATGTACAATTTAGGAAAGACATTTGAAAATGTTCTCAGTGCAATCAAGTTTGCCTCATTTCATCTTCAGAAAAGCATCTGCAGAAGCTCTGAGTGAAGGAACCGTTGCAGTTAAGTTCCCTTTTTAGACAAATGAGTTGGAGTTCCTCTAAGGCTGTTGTCCTTTCAGCTTGAGCTTCATCTTTTTCCGTGTAATGAGGCCATCTCTCTCCTCGTACTGCGCCAGGCACAGACCCTAACAACTTCTAGAATTGTCTCTATCAGGAGCGATGGCCAATTACACGAGGCCGGAGCCGCTGGAGACACATTTCGGTGTCTATGATCACAATAAGTGTTCCTCAGACTGTTCGGGCCTCCGCTGGGGAAATCAGGGGCCTTCAATTCACCGTCCAAATCTGATGACTCTGCGTCTTGTGATGTAGAGCAGATGACGCACAACTTATTGCTGCTCCCTTCCTCTCTATTAAACCGGCACTTCTGACAACAAAATGAGGTTATGTATGAAATAATAAGCTCTATAGAAGCAGAGCCTTGCAGAGTGCCAGACGCCAGGAGTTGTAGTTAAGGCAGAACTAAACTCTATAAAAAGAAATTGATAGGAGGTCAAACTTTTTTGGGCAAAAGAAACTGCGTGTGTAGCGTCACATTAATAGTGGTCACCCGATGGGGAAGGAGAGAAAATGTCGGACCGCTTTAAAATGTATCTAAAGCCAAAACCTTTTTCTTATTTTTTGATGGAGTGGTGAGGGTTTCCCCACTGGGAAGACTTGACCCTCTCTAACGGTTCAGGTGATCACAAGTTTTGAGTTGTCACCAGAACAGCGATAGAGGGGAAATCATCAAATGGAGACACTTGATTTGGTGACAGCTGTCTAAGGCCCCATGCATACGGACACCCAGGGATTGCGGCAGGAATCCCAGGTGAGTCCCTTAAAGTTAATGGCAGGGCGACACTGGACACATCTGTCTGTGGCTGTGCACATGTAACCATACATGGTATGGTTACCTGTAGATCTGGAAGAAAAAAATCTGTTTGCCTGAGGAAGGGGCCGCATGGTTCCGAAACGTTGCTAGAGGTGTTATCACTTGGGTCAATAAACTCATTGACTTGATCATTTGGAGTGCCGGTGACTTTGTTAATTTTTTTTGTACGTTTTGACGGAGGAATCCGTTGTTGCTGCTGCACCCGCCCTGATACATTGAGCATTCTCCGGTCAGGAGTGCGATGGGATATATGGACTTTTGTAGATCTGGAAGGGATGCTTGTCCAGGGACGCAATCCCCATAGAAATCCCCCAACATCTGTGTGCATAGGGCCCAACGCTCTTAAGCTTCAGAGCGTTTTGTGCACTTAAGAAATTCAATGTACCAGGTTGTAAAAGCTCAGTAATAAGCAGCAATGCAGCACAAGATGACATTTGGAACACAATAACCCTACATAGCCAATCACTGAAGCCAGAATAATGATAGATAAAAGATAAAAGGACAATTACATTTGCTCTTCACTCTTTGACAGCCAATGGTGTAGAAAGTATGTCAAAGATGTGCCCTCTCATGGGTAAACAGTAACATACCCATTATGTCATGGCTTTATCTTTTTGCCTGTTGTGCCTTGTGGGGGTTCTAATTTGCACCTGGGACCCCACCACCTTACTTTACTGCTGCTACATTCACGTGATTTCTAGATGTCACAAAAGTCCCTCCCCAACTGGAAAGGTACCTCACACAGGGTGGCAGCTTTGATCTTTCAGAGATTACAGTTGTTTAAAGCCTGACTAATCAAACAACTCCCTTCAGCTGATCTAAATTGTAGAAAGATCAGCAAACAATCAGAGATCAATCCAGCAGACAAGATAGCTTGAAGCAGGTGGCCACCAGAGGTCAAAGACCCAAAGCATTTACAGGTCAGATTTGGGGCGGCAGTCAGAAGGCTGCAATACGGGGCACAGATCTTTACTGCATTATTAGTGTTTTATACTCACATGTGACACATGGCATCCTCAAACAGAACCAAGCTCATCGCAGCGTTGACCTCATTGTGATTGTCCAGGGTGTGTACCAAGATCTTGTTTAATGACTGCCATGACTCGACCGGCATATATTTTGGCTCACCGACTCCATTTGCAAAATGGCAGAACATGTTCAGCGTTCTTGCTTGTTCCAGTGTTTCATCTATGTCCTGACAACATATAACAAGGAAAGAGTTAGCCAGGCCAAGACTCTACACGTCAAAGTTAAACACAAACACTGAACTCACAGATGAAGACAGAGGAGCAAACCGCACCTCTCCTGTCCGACCCACCACCATGGCCAGACCGGTAATTCAATGCCAACTGGAAAACCAGCCAGGTATTGTGCAAAGAGTCAGATTGGCCATCGTATAAAAGTACCAACTCCATATTTGTAATAACAAAGTGTTCTGAGAAAAAGTGTAGAAGTGGCAGCCATGGTGGGGGAAGCAGCTTGTATTCTCCAAGAAGATAGTCTTGTGACTACACAGCACCAACTTCTCCATTGTCACTATTGCATGTTTTTGGGTCCAGCATTGTAACCTTCTCTACATTGCTATCCTTTAAATTCTTCCATCTAAATATATTTAAGACAACACAGACTATGAAACAGAAGTGACACATCAGTCACACACAGGGGGTGCTGTGCTCAGCAGTGTCTGAGTTTCGGTGAAAGGGTCACAGTAGCAGCTCTCACGACTCCTGAACGTCTTCTGTAAATTGCCATGTCGGGACTCCAGTGACTCTCCCATGTCTGATGTTTATTGGTCTCCAGTGCAGCATCTCGTTGGCCTGACTACTGAATGGTGCTGTGAACCCCCCTCCGTTCCACTGCTCTTCCAGGAAACACGCATCGTCCAATGTCCCCAACTCAGCGTACCGTTATGTACAGAGAGAGACTATGACAAATGGATGTCTCTATACTGCCTGCACCGACGATGGAGCATCCATTGGGACTGAGAATGCTGACATTCAACTCTAACCCTCCAAATCCCACGGCTGTGTTATATTTAAAGACCAGAGCAACTTCTTTGCTATATGAAATGTGGCCGTGTAAATATAAAATATCTGTCTTTTCCATTTCATATATATCAATAGAACAGGTGACCCCATATTTTAAAAACTCGTTAACAATCTTGAGACTTTCAACCGGGTGTCACGAGAGGTTAATGTTTCTCAAGCATACATTTCTACCACAAAGGAGTACTCAAGCTGTTTTAGCCTATGCTGTAAAGAGCTGTGACCTCTCAAATACCACTCTAGTGTACAATGGATGCATTTGAATGTCTTTTTCTGCTTACACAGTGAAGGGTCGTGTCTTTTCAGATTCTTTTCAGTATAGATTTGCTGCATTTGATTGAATGCAATCCTTTCGAAAATAAAGGGCTATAAATATTGCTTTTATTGTGCTGATTTGTGGTCTGTGATCATATTCTACTTGAATGATTCTCTGAGAGGGTTTGTTCTCCAGCGTATACTGGGACACAGTATACGTTAAAGCTACCATCAGGAGGACAATTCTTCAATACTGCTAAGGTACCTTTAAAGGATTATAACCATTTACTTTTCATATTGTACCTTATTGATTTTATGCACAGCGGTGTGATCGCATGTGCATTACATCCACATTGAACACTTGTGTTTCTCAGCTGTCATTACAACCTTTAATAAGAGCCATATGCATTCTTTATAATCACCTTATGAGGCATTCGTGAATATAAAAGGCTCTAGTGTGAGAGATTATTGAAGATACTGTATACAAGGGACACCCTTTGTTCATTGATCGATATTAATGCAAGGACTTTTGTTGAGCAGAGGGCTGCCGACGGGGCCGCATGCTGCTCGAATTCAAGCAGTGTATGGCCAGTTCTCTGATGTAATTCACAACCTGGAATATTGTCCTTTGAGACATATAGCAGGAAGTCTTGAGAACGATTTTCAGAAGTATCTTGCTGTTCAAGACACAAAGCATTTATTTTGATGCATTTTCTTCATTTATAGACTTCTTCTTATGAGGGGGGTCTTCAGGAAAGCATGGCTGTATGGTATTAAATGTTTTTAATTCATGGTTGTCTTCTGGCTACAAAAATAATATTTTGGTAACAAGAAATAACGATTTGTTATATTTTCTAATTTTTCATTATTTTTCTTTTGAGGTACCCCAAGCCAGTGGCGTAACAATAGCCATAGCGGCCCATGGGGTCTGGGGGTGGAAGGGGGCCCCAATAAGGATTGCAGACGTTGCAGCTGATACTGACATTATCATTTAAGAGCTGACATCAGATGTAAAGGCAGGGACTATGCAGGCAGCTACCTGACTTTAATATCATTGACATACAGGTGAAACTCGAATAATTAGAATATTGTGCAAAGTTCATTTATTTCATTAATGCAACTTAAAAGGTGAAACTAATATATGAGAGAGACTCATTACATGCAAAGCAAGATAATTCAAGCTGTGATTTGTCATAATTGTGATGATTATGGCTTACAGCTCATGAAAACCCCAAGAACCCCAAATCCACAACCTCAAAAAAGTAGATGATTACATGCAATCAATAAAACAAGGATTGTACATAGAACAATATCGGACCTCTGAAAAGTACAAGCAATCATATATACTCAGTACTTGGTTTGGGCCCCTTTTGCAGCACTTACTGCCATTACTTTTGCACGATATTCTAATTATTCGAGTTTCACCTGTATGTCCTCCCGTGACCCTAAGAACTATGGGGAAAAGCACTTATCCCATAGTTCTCCTTTAAAGCACGTGCTGGAGAATCTGATGAAATCCTCGTATTGCTGTCACTATAGTGATACATAAGTGTCAGGTCCCCAAGTGACCTTGAAGCATTCTGTGAACAAGAACCTCATCCCATATGTAGAGATGGGAGCACGAAACTTACATCATAAAACTTCTTCACCATGTCCACCTGGATCTTATCAAATATCTCAAAGTCCTTCTCTTCCACCATCTTGTCCCGGTAGACGCGGTTAGATTCGTGGAGGTAGAGCTTCACCAAGTCTTGTGGAGTTTTCAAGCAGTCCGGCGTAGAGAAGAGGATGCCCTGAATTCGGAATAATAATAGTCACGGTTGAAACAAGAACACAATTCACAGCTGTTGCCTTGCAGGAAGACAGTCAAGCAGAAGGAACGGATTCTGGGTAACGACTTGATTGCGTTCAGACAAAACATGACATTTTAGCTTTGTGTGTTTTATTTCTGCACTCGCCCTCACCCCCCCCCCCCCC